GCAGCGTCTGTGATAAACAAAGGTGCAAGTTTCGGTGGTGCAGGTGGAGTCACCTGTGCGAGGGCGAGACTTTGCAACTCCACCAGGCGGAAATTGTATACACACACACACCGGCAGCATGTCAACCTGCCACCTTCGCGGCCTAGAAAGTTAAATTAGGGTAGGGTGGAACGTGATTTTCCCAGCCTGGCTGACATTTAGGGGAGATACAGTCGTAGCTGAGGGGGAGGTCTCTACCTCTACGACAGCAATCGTCAAGCCGACGGAAACAGGATAAACTTAGAAAGAGGTGCTTAGGCAGATAGCTTTACCGACAAAGACGAGCTAGAGCCTGGAGGGGCAATTTCTGTCATAGTAGCCATCATCAGCCAGTCATACCCTCCAACCCCGGCAAGTGGTGCACCACCCGAGGCTCGAACTCGCGACCTTTCGATCACTGTCATCTGTGTAGACTCCTAGAGGCTGTTGGTGGGGTTGAAGAGGCAGAGTGGGACGAGTGGCTTCCGTTAGCGCGATCGGTGAACGTTAATCAAGGAGTGTTAAATAGATAGTTGATAAGGCGTTAGTTACTTGAAGCATTTTGCTATTAAGGTGGACCATGCGATAGAAGGAGATTCGCTGGCGGAACCCAGTTAAAGCCAGAGGGGCAGAAAGGGCCATGTCTATCCAGTGCAATCAGGCCAGCCATGCACCAACCACAGAGCTGGACCACCCCGGTGAGCAAAGAGTTCGAACAAAAACTGTGGGCAATCCATCTTTGGGCGGGAGTGGTTGGCTGGCGATGGATACGAGGCCAGAAATACTCATCTTATTTGACCTCTTATTTTTTGACGTCACTCCGACAGACTTTATCCTCGCTAGGCGGCTGCCTGCTGTGAGGACTGTAGGTTGGAGTGAAAAAGCAGGACGCAGCGAGCCCATTTCGTCCGCAATCGAATCAGTGCGGTCTCACATCGAGAATGGACGTCAGGGCTTTTGTTGTTCTGGGAGTCTCCTCTTGTTATGGGACGCTGGTGGCATCAGTATTATTATTATTAGTATTAGTAGTGAGAGTTAGACCATCGATTTCGATGATGTCCACCTTATACACAAGACCAGGGATGGTGACTGTAGTCAGGTATAGTGAAAGTAGGCGAGCAACCATCTACTAACTCTAAACCCTCTCCCCGCTTGAACCGGTGACAAGAGAGAGTCGAGATGACCGAGCAGGAATCAGGCGTAGGCCGCTTTCTCCAATTCAGGCCAGAACATCGCCTACTTTGTCTTACGTGGCAGTAATCTTTTGCGCTGGTACTACCGCACTGTTTACCCTCACTCACCTTCAGTAGGTATCAAGCCAGACTCAAAGAAACCAAAGCTGGTACTGTTACTACTATTTTATACTACTGCTTACTAGCAGTGTAG